GTATATTATATATTCTACACAGAGTAGAAATTAGTTTTCAATAAATAATGATCAATGCTTTATTGACCATACCTTAAGTAAATTTGTAGACTGAAACAGACCATTTGCATTACTCTCCAAGTTAAGAAGGATATCAACATGAGTTTGCAGGTGGAAAGGAAAAAGCTGGTTTGAAACAAAATATGTATCTTTTGATGATGACTACACCTATCGTGAAAAAAATACAAAGTTGTTATCCCAGCAGAGGTTGGCAAAAGGAGCCTGTGAGTCACAGCTAGTACCACTGACTATCAAGAACTACTTACAAAGAAGACCTTGAAAACAAACATTTATTAGTATATCATTACCTATGTCCTTTTAAATTACCTATGAAACACAGATGGAACCCAGCTGCCTGGATTTCTTCAAGTCTTCCAGCCTGCCAGGGTCAACTTGTGGTTTAAAATATAACTTAAATGAATCCAAATCACAACCTCCTGTACAGGGAGTTCCCAGCACACAGCCTGGGGCTTTTAGGGATTGTAAGTGGAGTTTAGGACTCTCAAGAGGATGCCTCAGCTTCTGAGCACCTTCTTAGGCTGATTTCATACAGAAGTAAAGAAACTGAAATATGCTCATGCCACCCACATAAAATGTATAAAAATCAAGTTAGGTAATGTGAATGAAAACATTTCAGTAAGGATAAAGTGATACTGAGGGGAGGTAATAATCTTACTAAATTAGAAAGTGACCTAAGACATTGTGAATGTTCTGAGGGAACACTTGGAAGAGGGAGAACTGAAGGTCGTGAGACAGCGCTGACTTGTTTCATCTGGGTAAAAATAGAGAAAAGAATGAAGTCCTGACAAGATTTTGAAACATTGGCATTGTCTGTGGGTAGTAATAAGGGGAAAAAAATTACCTACTCAAGTTTAAAAGGGAACAGCAAAACTTAGTCATGTGATTACAGAAACTCAGAAGAGCATCCAAAACCAGAGAGAGAAGAGTCACCAGAGTCCTTTGAAGCTGGATGAGCTGGTGATTCCAAGGAACACAATCTCCTTGCTCTTTTATAAGAAAGCAAATCCTCATGGTCTTTGTCTCCTCTTCTGGGGTCTGCCAGATCTGTTCCTGAAGCAGTGAGTGCCAGCACGTTAATCAACTCCTTCCACAGTCCTGGTGTGTGCATAGCATTCAGTCTACTCATTTCTCACATTTGGTTTTTCCAAGAATTTGTTCCCAGCCTTAGTTCAGAAACTAGTCTATCCATCCACAGTTTCCTAAGGCACCATATCACATTCAAGTGATCTAATCCTCAAAACTACCTGTATGCACCACTTATTTGGTTGGACTGGAGGAAATTCCCCCAAGGGTAGGATCTAGTTCATTTATCTTAGACACTTTTAAATATATGTGGTAAATTTTATTATATACCAGTAGAAATCCCATTCAGGCAATGTTGCTAAGAAAATTGGAAAAATGCCCATTAGTTTTAAAGGAAATGTTAAGTGAGAATTTAAAATAAGAAGGTGTTAAGAATATGAGCTATAATTTGGGGATGTGCAATGACATGGCTTGTTCCACCTACTTTCCATGGACTGAATTTCCAGAGTAGACAGCCTTGTCTGTTATGGGTACTTGTGATTTAACCCTTTTAGCTAGCCTTACCTCATTTGCAAATGTTAGTGTCTCAGAAGTGAAAAAGACTAAGGGAGAATATAAAAGACAAGTAGTTTTTGTTCAAGAGAGATGGGTGGAGGCACAACTGGATAGGTGTGGGCAATGGGGAGGGCCCTGCAATATTACTGTGACTTAGGTAAGAAGGAAAGCAAAAGGGGCTGCCAACAAGACCAGCATGCTGTGGGACCAAAGCCCTGATCCTTTGTGATCTGACCCACATTATGTGGATGATGAAGTTAGGGGAGTCTCAGTGGTCCACTCCTCATGAGAAGTCATGGTCTCTATAGAAATAGAGAAAAGGGCAATAGTCAGGATCAGGTAATTTTCCTGCATCTCTTTCTGAATGAATGATCCATGTCATCATACAAGTTAAGAGGACTTTAAAGGAGATTTTTAAGAGTAATAGAACCCAGGGAATTCCGTTTTCTTCCTGAGAGGTACTGTGGACATACCTGATTACTTCCAGCCCCCTGCATGTCCACTTTGTCTATTATGTTCTTTAACGAAGATGGTGAATTGTTATCTGAATATAGCGTTCCAAGAATTTTTCTCCAAGGTAAAGGAAAATGTTAGGCAAGTTCTTCAAATACAAAAGTGAGCCTCTCCAGTTGGTGGCCAAAGGGGAGTGTGGGTGTTGGAAAATCATACCTATGCCTTAGCATTCTGGACAAATCTTTATACAACTAGAACAAGTCACAGTAGGTTTAATAATCATCCACGAATTGAATTGAGATGACATTTTTCAAGGCAAAACATAAGGCAGCGTGTTCCTCCATTAGTCTCTGAATTCATCTAAGCAGCTTTAGGCCAGTCTGTCTGTAAATCCATCATTCAGATGAAAAAAAAAAATCATTTAAAGCCACTGTACAAAATAATGTATAAGCAATATGAACACTGTTTGTAAGGCAGAAATACATTTAATATCAAGGCCATTAGTGTTTGTCTGTTTTATTTAATCATGGTCTTTTTATCTAAAAGAAACAGGCCTTACTGCATACAGGTGAGTGTTCAGGGAAGGATTCAGGCTTTGTGTTGTCCAAATTAAATTCTAAAACCAGGAAATTCATCATTCTGACATCCCTTTGCAGATGTGCAGTATGTTTTGAAGTATCTGTTAAGATGAGTCTTGTTTACACAAAGAATACATTTTACAGGTCATGTTAATTGGAAGTGATATCTGAGTAAGGCCTTTAGCAATGTATCTCAGTTTAAATGTAAAATTGAGGCACTATTTTCCCACGTGAATGGGCATTTCTCTGATTACCTGTATTTTGGATCTTGAGATTTTCCTTTAAATAGGTTATATGTTCTTTTTCTTGAGTTTTCTTCAAAGTCCAATGTTTATGGCTGTATTATAATATAGGCTTACAGATATTATGTATCAAAAATGGAGAAGATTTGGGGGAAAAATAGAAGACATATTGTTTTCTATTATGATTTCTTATAATTAATTTATAGCCTTGTAACTTTTAAGAAGTAAGTCTTATATAAGAATACATATCGGGGGCTGGGGATGTGGCTCAAGCGGTAGCGCACTCTCCTGGCATGCGTGCGGCCCGGGGTTCGATCCTCAGCACCACATACCAACAAAGATGTTGTGTCCACCGAGAACTAAAAAATAAATACTAAAAATTCTCTCTCTCTCTCTCTCTCTCTCTCTCTCCTCTCTCACTCTCTCTTTTAAAAAAAAAAAGAATACATATCTCAAACGCACAGTTTTAGATGATGATAACCAATTTAACAGCAAGAATTTTGTGGGAGATTCTAGTAAAGAACAAGAGGATGATATGACCCATTAGTAAATATTTCCAGTTGAATCTCTAAAACTATTTTTCTGGTTATTATACTGTAACCAAATTATATACTTAGATACTGTAAAGTTTACTTTGGACTCTGTTGTTCTATGTAAACTCCAGGAATAACAGATACAATGGCACAGCATATAGCTTCTAAATGGAAAATAACCTTCATTTTTGAGAGACCAAAGGAATCTTAGGGAAATGTATAGCTGGGAAATGACAAAACTGCCATCTGCTCAAAAGCTAGGATTGTGAATGTGACAGAGTGGAGCCCTGGAATCCTCAGATTTGCCTTTAAAGAATACTTTCTCTCGAGCTGGGGCTGTAGCTCAGTGGCAGAGGGCTTATCTAGCATGTGTGAGGTACTGGGTTTGATCTTTAGCACCACACAAAAATAACTAAACAAATAAAGGCATGTTGTCCATCTACAACTATAAAAAAAAATTAAAAAAGAATATTTTCTCTGCAGCCCAAGGGACATTTAGGTCAAGAAGATGAAGTTGGCAAAGCCAGGCAAAGAAATGCTTTATGATTAGCTCCCTAGCAGTTCCATGACCCTTCATCCTTTATTTCCTGAATTGGACTTATGCCAGGAGGAGGAGTCCAAAAGGGTAGGGGGAAAGAAGATGAGGAGATAGAGAAAGTAAGAGGATTGAAAGAAGAAGGAGGAAGGAAGGAGAAGAGAGGAGCCATAGCCTAGTACCTTCTATGCAGAAGCAGCCACAGCCCTTGGAGCCATAGAAACCTGATCAGGCTTGACAGGACACAGTAACTCCACAATCAGCCCCATGACCTGAAACCCTAATGGTATTCTTCTTTATTTGAGGTTAGATGGAGGGAGGCAATAGAAATGAGCCCTGGACTCTCCCTGGAAAACATGGACTAATTTGAAACATAAGCTGGATGTGACCAAATCAATGATTCTCAAAGTGTGTTCTAAGGAACATGAGTCCTATCATAAGGCCCCTAAGAGAAAGAGAAAGGAAGGGACCCATTTTTTCATGTAAGTCCAGAAACAGCAGGTTACACAAACTTGACTAGATGCTTTTGTAAATAAATTCAGTCAATCTTCACAGCTGATTTCTGTTGCAAATACTCTTATACTTCTTATTTAAAGATGAGTGAAGGTGTAGAAAGGTTAAGAAATACAGCAAAAGTCACTCATTATTTAAGATGTGGTGCTGGAATTCAGTGCCAATCTGATTCCAGAGTCCAGGTATGATGACTATATGACTTCCTACAGTCTTTTTAAATGCAGATCTGTACCCTGAATCTCTGAGATATATACAATGTACATCTCTCACTCTTATTTGACCATAATCTTTTTTGAAGTTTTCTGAGCTTCTCACGAACTTCCATAGAACCTACTTCGTGAAGCCATGGGTAGATTTCAGCAGGTAGCCTCTTGTCTAACAAAGCTTTAATTTGGCCACCATCTAGATACAAAGAGCTAGTATAAGTGAAGTGACACATTCTGAATTGAAAAAAAAAAAAAGTTTATATTGAAGTTGTCTGAGCTCTTTCTTCCCTACTGTCTTCCAGATGTTTCATTCCAAACATCTACGCAGCCCTGTTTACCGCGGCCCTTGTTCCTTTGATGTGCCTGGTGGTGGTGTTCGTGGTGTTCATCCACGCCTACCAGGTGAAGCCACAGTGGAAAGCCTACGACGATGTATTCAGAGGGAGAACCAACGCTGCAGGTTTGAAAAGAACTCTATTTGCATTTTGGAGATAGGAGTTTTTCAGTAGTGGGAAAATGTCAGTGAATATTTTTTAATAAAAAAAAAAACAGAAAAATGTTAGGCTCAGCTTTTAGCTCTTAAGGCTTAAACTAAGCCTTACCTCCCCAGTGTCTCCTGCTTCTGGTGCTTCTGACATCTCTTTCTTCAGGGCTGGCCTGCTGCTGTCAAGTTTTGTCCTAAAGGTATTAAGGTCCATGTGAATGAGTCACACAGACTGGGAGCCGCTTCTCAAGCTTTCCTCAACTCATGCAATAATAATCTGCACTCAGCTTGTGAAACCAATTTATTTCCTGGAGATTTTGAGACTTCTTCACAGTTGAACAAACCTCCACGATGCTTGCGAGCACTATATTCTGCATGTGGCGCTCTGATTGTGCTGACAGATGTTTAAAAACATATGTAATCAGACAGCTTCCTAAGTGACTACACATGTCCGGTTACTTAAGAGTGCAAGTCTTTCCAGCTCAAATTGGCTTTCACTGCAGTTCATTTTTTCCCTTTGAATCACACTGAACACAGGTTTTTATGATCTGGTTCTTTTTTTGTTGTTGTTGTCGTTAGATTCTAGTCTCCTGGGAATTTTCTTAACTAGGAACAATAACCACACACCTACAGACAAAAACTCTCACTGAAGTGTTGTGTGAGTCATCAAGATACAGCATTGAAGATCCCTCTTAGGCCCATGATCTTCTCTTTTCTAAGCTTTTACAGATCTGAAGTCAAATGAATGGCAGTCTTAGAGGAATTATTCACATTTTAAGTGCCTGTCACATTTAAGCAGGATAGCACATAGGAAATCTCTAAAACAGTGCCTAATATATTAAAAAGGACTCAATAGATATTGTCACTTATAAGGTGACACTTTAACATTAAAAAAAAAAAAAGTCTTCTAATTCCTGAACTGGATCAGGAAGGTGCAAAAAAAATTTACTAATACGATGAAGAAAAGAGACTTTCTGATTAGTTTGTGTGGTGGTTTTAAGATATTAGTATCTAGATACCTCTTCTCTATTTTCTCTCATTCCACATGTGATCATTATGTAGGGAGAAATATTATTTAAAATTATGAGTAATCTTAAATTCCTCAATAAAAATGATTTATAATGTAGAAATACTACTTTTTTATGGTGAAGAGTATTGGGGATCTAATCCAGGAGTATTTTACCACTGAGCTACATCCCTAAAGCTTTTTTATTTTTTATTTTTAGACAGGTTTCACTAAATTATTTAGGTCCTCACTAAGTTGCTGAGACTAGCTTTGAAATTGCAATCCTCTTGCTTCAGCCTCCTGAGTCCTAATTTTTAAGCTTTTATCCAAAAGCTGCACTTTATTCAACTTAGATTTATTTTATTGAAACAGATGTTATTTTTTTGGAAAGAAAAGTTGTTGTTTTTTCTTTCCTTAAATGATAAGTTTTGTTTAGTTTGTTTATTTATTTATAATAATAGTGGCCAGTGTTTGCGTATTATCAATGGGGGGCAAACACAATGAGTTAATCTTTGCAGACCTAAATCACTCCATACACCTCTTGGATATGATCCATCACTGATGTAATAAATAAAACTATACTCTAATTATCTGAAAAGCAGCCCTCAAGCATTCATCATAATGCTAAAAGTCCCATCACAATTCTATCTCAAGTAGGGAGTCCTCTCTTGAAATGAAATATTAATAGAAATATTGCTTTGTTGTTGTTTTTCAGATATTAAGTTATTTCTAATTCCCCTATTCCTGTGATAATTCAGTTCAATAGTTGAGATAATACTTGGACTCTGATTAGTCTCTCTCTTTCTAATCTTTTTCTTCACCATTTTTCGATCTCAGAGGTCATACTTCAAAAATATGAAGTGAATACTTTCACTTCACTGTAGTCAAACAAGGTCTTCCTCATTGCCCAAAGTAGAAGTCTAGACTCTTAGCTCTTAAGAGTCCCCACAGATCTCCCCTGTTAGTCACTGTTTATTCTGCATCCTGACATTGCCAATCTATTTATTCTTTTCCTAAAATCACCTGCCATGTCTCTCACATAAGGAGGCCTCTACTTTGAGTATCTCATGATAAGTTGATAGCCCCTATGTGCTCAGTGAAAGGGGAGCATGAGGATGGATGAGAGAACTGGAAGGGGCTTCTCACCCTCCCATAGTCTTCATTAACTCCCCAAAGCTGTTCAAAATATCCTGTAATCTAAGTAAAAATTGTGTGATTGATAAGGTAGTTCCCATTGGCCTCATGCGCTTCTCTTACAGAAATTCCCAAAGGTCTCAATATTCTAACTTGTCTGTGAAGCCTTTGGAATTGCCTCTTACAGAATTGCTGCAGATTGGAATTACCTGTTTCCTCTTTCATGACCTTAAAGTATTTACTCCTAGTGTCATAGCACTTGTCATAGAACTGAATGGTGACTTGTTTAGGTTTAGGTGTGTATGTTGATTTCTTTACTAAATAGGTCAATTAATATTGACTATTCATCTTTATATCTCTAGGGCCTTGCAGAGTGCTCAGTGGATAACAGAAACATAATTAATGTTTATTGAAAAAATGACTAAATTAATGATCATAAATATGCCATAACATGTGTGGGGCACTGGGTTCTATCCTTAACACCGCATAAAAAATAAATAAATAAAACAAAGATATTGTTTCCATCTACAATTATATATATATAT